GGTAAAAAAAAGATATAAACCCCGCGACTTTGCAACGGTTATAAACCATAAATGCTCTGCCACAAGTACGGACTGCTGATAAGAAATTGTCCGCCTGTGTCGCTGTCTGCACGTAACTCTGTAGCTACAGCGATGTTCCTCCATTTACCCCAGAGTGTCACTCTGGTACCCTAAACCTAGAGGCTGGGTAAACCCCGGAAACTGCCCGGTTTTGAACACCGACCGTGGGCTGTAACTTTCTAAGGTGCTAATTATTTAAAACACTATAGAAGAGAACAGTCCATTTAGAAACATGTACCGTTTGATTTGTATGCAGGTCCATATCATTGTCTCGTAGCTGTTTCACCACACCAAAGACAGCTGGAGTGTTCTCAAGTCCGCCATACTTCTCTGACGTTGCTGGCTGCTCTTTGATCTTTTCAAAACCTTCCTTGATTTTGGAGAAAACCACCTCCACTTCATGCCACCTGTAGCCAGGATATAACAATGTCAGTGCTCTTAGGAGAAATTACCATTATTGTAAAATATTATTTTAATTAATATTATTACAATTTTAGTTATCTGTCCTTTTCCAAAAGATATTGTGGGAAAAAAAATATGCTGTCTCTACAATGAAGGTTGGCTACAGTGTGCCACTGCTGTCTTTTGAGAATATTACATGGCGAGGGCCCAATCTCTTCCATGACATGACTCTCGTACTATTGTCTGAAAACTACGAGATACATTTTTTCAAATTTACCCACTTCTGACCTCTAAGCCACAGAGCTGTATTTTAAAACTGATTGTCAACTTTCTCTGTCAGAAACACGTTAATGGTATCAATCTGTGCCCCCTGTATACACAATTTAAACTTGAAATATCAGAAATTAGAGAATACGCTCCAAGACTGTTCTGACAATGACACATTTAGGCAAAAAATATAGCCAGAGATATATGCAGGTAAGCATCTTTCTATCCATTCAAATTATAGGTTATCTATATTTAGTAAAGTTTGTTGGACATAGTTGTGAGTCATAAAATAGTTGTTAAATTGCATGTCTAAAAAAAAAAAAAGCTACATTTTCTACTTAATGAACAAATCTGTGCAACATTGAAAGTAATCTTGTTTCTCTGAGCTGCCTCAGGAAAGGGTATATTAGTACTTAAATGATACAGCACCAAAGTTGTAATCCTCTGTAATGTAGAATCTGTACTGAATAATAACCGTTTTGGTTATCTTCTTCTTCAGCATTTCTGAGCTCTAGAGGTTTACTGCTGCAGATATCACTTGCCTCCACTGATCTCCATGACTGCCTTCTCTTTCCAGCTGATGACACCAAGTGTTTGTATGTCTGTCTTTATATTATCTCTACACTATCTTCTTGGTCTGCCTCGGTGTCTACTCAAATTCAACTTTTTCAGTGCACAGTTTTTGTCTGCCATTCTCTGTAGATGCCCCAATTATTGTGATCTATTTGTACTCATGATGCCAATAGCAATTATCAAAATCTGTCTTGCAGATACCCCAGGTTACAGATAACTGTTCTTGACAGCTAGCGTGGTACTGGCCACATTATCTACTGAGTGCTGAAGGCCAATAAACAGCATGGCTGTCAGAGAAATCAGATTCTGATTGCTGTCGGCTTTCACACTGCGAGAAGAAGTGTCTTTAACAGAGTACTAGTTAAACAACGATTAAACAAAAAATTAATACCGAAAGAATTGCCTGAATGTTGCGATGAAGTTGAGATGTAGGCTTCAAAACCACTTGCCACAGTTAGGCGGAAATGGGAACTAGTAGCCACTCTATAGCCCTTCAAACAGCCCAGGCTGTGGAGGATCCAGGTCTCTTAGTCGTGAGCTGCCCACCCGCGGCTTTCCCCCCAGGTGTAGGATACCGTTCAGGCAGGAGACTTGTAATGAACATATAGTACATAAGATCAAAACATCAAATACACACTATGGCATATCATTTTCTCTCCACCCTTTTTTCCCGTTCAACACAGATGTATAAATGTACACCCGTGCACAAACATGTGCCTTTCAAAACGCTATTCAAATAGTCAACACCCCCAGAAATGAGTCCATTACAATGTGGCTAGCACCATAAACCATACCTTTTCAACCGTTCTTCACGTTTCTGTTTTAAATGACTAAGTTCGTTGGCAGTTCTGTTATATCTACGATATACAACCTGCACGTTATGTTCAAGATCATTGATCCCATCAAGCAAAACAAACACTGAAGACCCAATCAGCCTCTTCACATAAAAGAAATAGACCACCAAATTTAGACTGCATACAGCACACAACGCATTCCTGCAAACCTATGTTATCAAGAAATGTGTCAATGTAACTGTGTGCATAAGACGTTCTTTTTGTTTTAATCTAGCAAGACTTTGCCATCAGATGATACTAAACATACGCTACAGACATGCTCTCTACATGCAGCAGTGGGATCCCAGGTTTGGCCAGTTGGTATTCCAATGGAAACAAAGCTGTACGGATCAGTGGAAGACTCTCATCACACTTTAGAAAGCCTTTCTTAGCTGAAAACTACTGGCATGGACAACGCACACACACAACACACACAAAAACATATTCAGATTTTGAAAACAAAAGAGATCTCACCATAAGCTTTCACAATGTTGGTGATTGCTACAGCTGCTCCCTGCCTTACTGAAGGAATGTTGTCCTGCAGGTTGGTGAAGAACAGTGGATACAAGGCAGGCAGAGATGACCTAGGGAGACAGACAAAAATTTGTTTGCACAGATGATAAACAAGGCATTAAACACAACTTAATGAAATAAATGTACAATATCCATTCAAACGAATGGCATAAAAGCAAAAAACATGACTTTGTAAAATAGATATCTATGTAAATATACTGTCTGACAATTAATTAATGAGACTAATTTTATTATTCACTGGCACCTTTCCGTCTTTTGAGACGATAGTGTTATATTGCGCTATGAGGAGGCATGAGTCTCACAGCCCATGGCAATGGCGAGTGTGACTAGCAAGACCCGCCCGTGTCAAGAAAAGTCTTCCACAATGATAGCATGGGATTTCAGGACCATTGTTAACAACATTTGTGTTTAATCCGTTTCTTTTCAGACGCTCAGCTCTTATCCTTTCTGCAATCATTTCTTCCTTCAGTCACATTCCCTTCATGATATGCCCTTTCCACACAATACGGTCCATGCATTTATTCCCATGAGTCCGCACCCTCAATACCAGTATCATTCATGTCCCGCTGCATACATCTTTATAACGTAGTAGAGGTCTCGGCCCTCAACAATCTTCTTCATGTCTTTAATTCACCATAAGGGATGTCCTTATGGACTCTGCCATCCTCACATTCTCCAGAGTGTGACCCAGCCACCTGAAGCCTTCGTAGACTGAGCATGAAAAGACTGTTTAGAACCTGCTTCTTCCCAGTACCTCAGTGTTTGTGATTTTGTCCGCCACTTAATGCCAATGATTCTTACTTAGGCATCACACCGTGAAAGCTATTAAGCCGTCTTCTTGAGTGCAAATAGAGTTGACCGAAGTTTCACTAGCCACTAAAGCAACAGTGCTGAGAACACAGGCCTAATAGACAAGGGTTTTTGTTTTAATTGTGAGCTTTCTGTTCTTCAACAACTCTCTTTGTCCAATCTGCTCATTGTTGTTGCTCTGCCTTACCTATCATGATGATGATTTTCTGGTCCAGCGATAGTTTACTATTCACTGTGGAACCCAGATAGGTAAAAAATGGTCTACTATCTCAAGCTCTTCATCATCAATGTAGACTGTAAGTCTGTCATTGACATGGAAACCCTTGCACCAAAACCCTTTGTCTTCTTCTTTCTGCTAGACTGTTAGTCCAAAGTTCACAGCACGCGATCAGCAAAGGCAGATAGTAAACATTGCAGCTCCTCCTCTGAGTGGGTGGTTATTGCGGCATCATCTGCAAACAGCAGCTCTCTGATAAGTACCTTTCTTATCCTGGTTTTGGCCTTCAGCCTGCGAGCATTGTAAAGGCTGCCATCAGATCGAGATTGAATGAAAATACCACCCTCCTGATCTCGAAAGGCATATTCCAAAGAGGGTAGGAGCAAGTACACACCCCTGCTTCACTCCATTTTTGATTAAAAACTCTTCCGATGTTTCACCATCAAAGTTGATTGCACCTTTCATACCTGTGTGGAACGACTCAATAATACTCAGTAGAGTAGGTGGACACCCAATCTTCTTCAGTGCACTGAACAGACCTTTTCGACTAACCAAATAAAATGCCTTGGTAAGATCAACAAAAGAATTTTATTATAACAAATACAAAAATGCCATCCAAGAAGCAAAGCATGTCATCCAGACAGGCTACATTCATCTATGATCAAACAAAAATGTAAAGCCACACGGTCAGCAGACGATAAGTAACCCACTGTTTTGTTTAGCTTGTGAAAGTTGCATCATTACGTATGTAGTATGGAGACAAGGGTAAACATTAATTCTGTTTCAGACTCGGGGAAAAATGCTCTTGATTTGATTTGGTTCAAGAACTGACATCACAGCACTCAGGGCATTCCCATAAGCACTCTGTCCCCATCTTCAGCAGCCAGCGAAGACTTCCGATACTTATGGTGCCAGTAGCATTCTGATTAAATGTCCGTCCTTCCTTTCCTATGAGCCTCGAGCATCTGCCAAAACTTCTCGCCCCGCGTCAATCTCACCAGACTGTGGTGATCCATCTGCTCCTCTGAACTGCACACGCTCTACCACAAGGCACTAACCACGTCACCTTTAACATGTATCAGTATTCAACCAAGTTGTGCAGAGCCAGCCAGTCTGTCCGCCTGTTCATTCGCTCCACAATACTGGCTGCGCGCACCTGGTACAAAAAACTAGAACAATACTCACCTCACCGATTGTCCCTCCGCAGGCGAGAGCATGCCCCTCTGCATGAAGCATGCATGCCCTGATCTTCTTCAGCATGCTTTCTGAGTCAGTTACAATCACGATGTGTGTGTGTGTGTGTCGTGTTCTCTAACCAGCAGTGACCGCCTCCACCTCCATTCAGAAACTGGGAGTTGTATCATTGC